GCCCTATCAGGATGTAAGCCACATGGTGTCGCCTGGAAGGTCAGAAAGTTTTAGCCGGGACCCAGAGAAGCTAAGGGGGCATGCAGATCTTGGGTCTGTCTGTCCTGCGCAGCCCCCTGCTCCCTGAGGGGGTGGGGAAGGCGGGGATCCCCGTGCATCCTGCAGACAGCCGCCTGCCACATCCTCCCGCCAAGCTCCTCCCCGGCCCCAGCTCTATTTATACCCCGCGGTCACAGCGGGCTTCCCCAGCGCCCAGCCAGGCAGGAGCTGATGGTGGCAGGGCTGTGGTTTCCATGGAGACTCACACCATCCTGCAGCCCAGGGTGTGGCTGAGACCAGCCTGGCCACAGGGCGGAGCCCAGGTGGCCGCTAGTGCTCACCACACAGCTCAGGGCTGAGCCTTGGGACCCCGTGACCAGGGGGGCTGTGCTGGGACCCAGGGACATCACCATGGCAACCAGGGTGAGGTGGAGACCAGCAGGAGCGGGGAGGGACCGGCCGCCTCACTCTGTCCTGCAGGGCTCTCTGCTGGTTGCACCCTGTCCCTTGGCGGCCCGTGAGCCCTGCTCCCAGCTGCTGCAGGCATGCCCAGGACCCGCTGCCTTGAGCTGTCCTTGTCCCTCTCGCACAGCCAGTGGCCTCCACGGACCCTCTCTTTCTACTGACAGACTGAGACAAGGTCCTGAGCCTACCTCAGGCTTCTCTGGGCACCCAAGAGAGGGCAAGGGCAAGTGACAGAGAGGGACACTGTGCTGCTGGCAGCCCCGGGAGACCTGGATCCAGCCAAGCCTGTAGCCTGCTCTGCCCTTCAGTAGGGTTCTGTCCCCCAGAAACCACAGTCCCGCCCGGGGGGGCTGCAGGCCACAGCCCAGTGCAAAGTGGCCACGCGGCCTCGTGTTTAAAATGACGAGGGGGTCCAGTCTCCTCAGCCTGCCACGGGGCACGGTGTCCTGGCCTCGCTCCAAGCCTTCAGAGGGTCCCTTTGCCCCTGCTAACAAGGTCCCCCAGTGCAGTGACCAGCACCCCTGTCTCCCAGGGGCCTCAAGCCAAGCAGTGAGCCCTTCAAGTCCCTGAGGAAGCCGCCCAGGCCTCGGCCCCCTCCCATGTCCCAGGAGGGGGGACCCCTTGGGAGCAGCTGGAGCCCAGGACCACACCTGCTGACCCCGAGGGCCTGGCCACGGCAGGCCACCACCTGGCGAGCCACTCACTGCCTCTGGCTGGGCGGGGACTGCTCCCCCGGAGGCTGGCTCTGATTTCCCTGTCACTTTTCAGAGGCGAAGCTGGCCAGACCCTAGAGCAGTGGCCATGCCAGCCCAGCGCCCACCAGCACGTGGGCACCTGTCAGGAGCGCACCCGGGTTGGGCTCGCCGCCTCGTCAAGGTGTCCCCGGGTGCTCCCAGGGGCATGAGGCTTCCTCCCGTGTCCTGGCCACCTGTGCCTTGGGATGACGGGGCCACTGCTGTGACCACCTGAGTCTGTCCCGAAAGCCGGGCTTCAGCGCCCGCGACCAGCCGCCCAGAATTCAGCAGGGGCCACTCCGTCCCCAAGGCACTGCCAGCCCCGAGGACAGGGGCTGCGGAGCCGCCCTCTCTGGAGGGGCCTCGGTGCCACCCTCCTGCTCCCTGCAGAGAAGGGACAGGCCACCCCCCTGCCTGGCTCAGCTGCTGTCCCTGGAGACCCGGCACCAGGGGCCAGACCAGGCGTCCCCACACCGGGCAGGCAGCCCACAGACCTGCTCTGGCCCTGGGGCTCGTGGACACGGGGACCCTGGGCTTCCTGGTGGGCGGGGGAGGGGAATCTGGGTCCCCGAGGCCCTTTCACTGGAGGGCCTGCCCGCCCTGCCCAGGCCACAGAGCCCTCCCCTCAGGCTCTTGGCCCCAGGCCCTGCTCCAGCCCCCCCCACGGGCTCCCAGAGCCTCCGCAGCCAACCCACACAGGACGCTGGGCAGTGAGCTACGGCCATTGTGCACACCAAGGGAGCACCCAGCACCCAGCACTCAGCCCCCAGCACCCAGCCCCCAGCGTGCCCAGTCCTCCTCTGACCTCCTACCCACAGCTGCCAGGGAGGATGATCAGAATCCAGACTGTCAGAGCTGGCAGTGGGCCTAGAGGTCACAGATGGCTCAGAGAGGCTTGGAAACTTGTCCAAAGTCACACAGCCATCACTGGCAGGACCTGTCCCAGAAGCCAGGCCCCCAGAAACAGACCTGGACTCCGTCCACCAAGAGGCCGCGGGAGGAAGCTCAGATAAGGGGACAGCCCGAGGACACGCCTTCACACCTGAATCCAGGTCCCCGCACCAACAGGCCCAGCTGCCCCGCACCGAGCCCTTGTTCCTATGGGTGGCGGCAAGCACTTGCCACCGCACTGTCCCCTCTGCCAGCGTCCTCGGCTCCACAGCACCGCCTGGTGCCCCCTGGGGCTCTGGCCCAGGTTCTAGAAAGGGATGAGGGGGCACGTGTCCCACCCAGAGTCACCCCCATCCACGATCCCGAGGGACCCGCGTGGAGAGGCCCAGGAACCATCCCTGCCCATCGGTGTCCCCGCTGCCACCTGGGGAGTGACAACTGCTATTTTTGGGGTGGGGGGGGGGTTTGGAAGGACTTTTTTTTAAAATTCCAGAATCGCGGGGGGGGCCCGGCCCACGTCAAGGCTGACACCTGACCAGGACACGGAGCCCAGAGAGCCGGAGTGACTCACCCGGGGACACAGAGAAGTGCCACCATCTACGGGTGT